GTATTGCTTCAGGCTGTAGATAGGAAATAGCATGTAATGTGGATAAGGGGAAAGCAAGGCTCATGTGACATTCTAAACTAGGCAGAGATGCACACACACTTTTTTTTTGAATGTGGAGAGAATTTTACCACACTTTTTTGTAACCAACTAGAAACAAGCATGGTCAAATGTTCAGCAACAGGACCCATTTTCTAAGCAGTTACATCTGTGTCTCATGGTAAGTTATCAATAAGCAAATGAGCATCTGACTTTGCCTAATTTTCCAGTAAGTTTGAAGCAACCCTGTTTATTCAAAGCACAAACAAAACAAATTTGCTGAGACATACCTTAATCAAATTAAGACTGTGCATCATGCTTTATAAAACTTAACGTAATGCTTCAGAGATCTTGTCCTTTTTCTTCCCCTGACAGTTCATTCAGATTCCCTTTATGTTTTTGCTGTGTCTGTTAATAGAGCATGACCACACTGCCTCTTAGTTTAGAGATAGGTTTTCCTTTCCACAGAAAGCCGGTCTCATTTTAACATCTTTGATTCCCGTAGGCTTTCATCTTGAAAGGGTAGCAGCATGCCTGGCAACCGATTCCTATGAGAGGCAGACCACTCAGGCCTTTTGAAAAGTTTTATGTTTCCAAAGGAAGGGTGACAAGAGATCACTGCATCTAAAAGGCGATAAGCTTCACCTTAATCTTGGCATCTGTTTGCTTATCTGTTCAAGACAACTGTTCATATTTGGGCTGCATCTACACTCTCCACTTATGCCACTCCAGTGCCATACAGTTATATATACAACCACATCTATTGTTCTCAGTTTACAAAACAAAGCATTTCATTAGGAACTACGACGTTATTTAAGAAATGCAGTGTTACTGCCAAAACTGGCAGCCTGATGATTCCCCACTCCATAAGAGCTGAATCGACTGAGTTTCTACCAGCGCAGGGCAGGGCTGTTGAGCCTCTTTCAGTCTGGGGCCCAAATTCCTTTTCAGAGAAGCAGGGGAGGGGAGAGATGCATCCCTGTAGTGCATAGGGCCAAAGGCAAAGGGGTGGTGGGTGGATACCAGCTTATTAGAACTGAAAACTCTTGCTGCCAGAAACTAGATCTTGGGAGAAACAGCTCAGCCTTTCAGGATGAAGAAAAAGCATAAAAGCCAGGAAGCCACCAAATGATCAGTGGCGGCGGGTGGGGGGGCATGGCTAGGAAAAGGGGATGTGACCATCTGGGGAACCCCAGGTGTCTGATTTCTGCCCTCCTGATTTAGATGTACATTCTCTCCAGAGAAACATAGTAAGTGTCTCTAAATAATTTTACCACTGGCATACAGTGCATTGGATGTTTAAGACTGGAAAACTGCTGTTTGTCCCAGTGCAGAGATAGGCGCTTGCTTAAATTTTACCTATTAATATCAGTGTGACAACTCTGCCTAGGTCATGCCTTCATCTCTTTTTATATAAGAAAGTTCAGAAAATGTTTTACTTAAAACAGTAAATTACAATTAAGCCATTAAAATCATTGATTAAAAATGTGAGATCAAAGGTGCAATTCTATGCATGTTTAGACCTTTAACTCTCTACATTCTTCAGCCAGTGTGGCTGCCGGGTGAATGCTGGGAATTTTAGGACTTTTTTTCTGATTGAACATGCATAGGATTGTGCCCTAAAAGCCATAAAACTTAAAACATACAATTCATACCACTTCTTAACAACAAACCAGTGAAGGAAGCATACAGGTATCCAGTATCTCAAAAGCTTCACAAAACAATATCTTTTGGGTCAAAGCACAAGTTTTTGACTGATTTCCTTATGCAAGCCAAGAAGAAGTAACCATGACAAGGTCTTTCTTCTTGCAGATAGCATACCATAAAATGCTAGCACTGAGAGACTATACCTGCAAGGTTTGAATTCTGCCCAGTTTCCCAAACTAAGCTATGGTTATAACCAATGTTATGCTTGTATAAAAATTACGGAGCTGATATTCTGCTAGAGGTTGTACAACCACTCCCAGAACTAGCCCATCAGAACAATCACCTAGTCTGATGAAGTCCTAGTGAACTGTACACCAGCTTATGCAAACAGAAGCAAAATATTGTACTTGACACTTAGGTAAGGGTACAAATAGGATTTCCTCAAGCTTTGCGATGGAAGAATGACATCACTGGGCACATCAGAGAGGCAGTGCTTGATAAATCAAGATGGTGTGCCCATAGATCACTGTGGCTGTACTCATGAGGCTCCCTTCTCTGTCTCCTCCTCCTCCTCCTCCCCTTTCCCTTTGCAACCTATTAAAAAAGAACAACCTCTTTACATGGCAGCTGGGGTTACTGAAGAGGGCAGCATCCAACAACCTCAGTTTCCCTGGATCTGTGTAGAGTTCCACATGGCTCATGGGTACTTAGGGTAAATTAAGACATGAGCATCTGAAGTCACATCCAGCACGATGCTTCTTAGCATTTTTAGCACATCTGACCACCCATCTGTTTTTAAAAAATGAATCCCTCCAGCTCCGAGTGGGTGTGCAGCAAAGTGGGGTGGCTGGAAGAGAGAGTACATTTTTATTCAAGTAATCTACTTTTTCACTTCAGGTGAGGTGACCGTACACTGATGATGTAGTGGAATGTGGGGACAGAAATGAGAAATAAGTATGTGCTTTTACTGGAAGGGCAACTCAAAGAGTGTGATTATCCAGTCTAGATTATGACAGAATTAATTTTCTGGATGTCTTAGTGATCAAAGAAGAAGAGTATTTCAGTACTTTCAGTACTACACTGTAAGAAACCAGTGGACAGAAAGTATTTCAGATCTTATCATTCACATCTCTATCACATACTTTACTTTTGAAGCAGCTTTCTCAGTGCAGGCACATTTGTTCTGTTTTAGGGGATTTCTGTCTGGAGGCCAGGTCTCGCTGTGAAGATGGGATATGATGCTGCATTGTACATCGCTTCATACTTGCTTGCACTGAACTGCTTCCCTTTGCCATTTTGGTCCCCATTCCCCCAAATTCATTATAACCCCATTTTGTTCTAACCAACCTAAATAATTTGATGTTGTCAGAAACATGGCCACCTCTCACTCCCTGATCACCCCTAAGTGCAAATAAATTATAAGAGAGGTAAGGAGCACACATGGGGGATCCTATTGTGAACATCCCTTCACTGGGAAACCTGATCCCTCTTTGACATTTCAAGCACCCTCGACAACTGGGAGCTGGCGCTGAATACAGTAACAAGCACCACCCTCATTCCCAAAAAGCCCTGCTTATGGTGTGGCACAGATTTTTGCCATGCAAGCTAAGGGCGTTGTAATCCATTCTCTACTCCTTACAGACACTCCACTCAGCAGCAACAGGGACTCTCTCAGTGCTCTCTCCTTTTGCTTTGGAGCTCCTTTCCCCATTCCTGTTTGCATGCAACTTTCAGTATCAAGCCAAAACCTTTTGTTTTTCCCAGGCATTTTAGAAATTTGGTTTTTAGTTTTTATGTCTGTGCTTATGTAGTTTGTGCTCTTTTTTATTTTGCATTTATCATAGTTCAACCATTTGTTATTGCCCCAGAGAATGTTACTGGCTGCATAAAAACACAATAAAGAAACAGAAATCAGTGGTTATAAGGAAGATAATTAATCAAGTAATATTCTTGATTATTTAAAAGCCCCAAGAAAATGTCATTCCCTGCCTCTGCAAAAAAGTGGATGGGGGAGAAATTCCAATTTTAAAATTTATGCTTTAAAACAGAATTTTGTGCAGCCCTTTAAGGCCTAAGCACACAGCCACTGAGCAGTGCATGGCCTTGGTTGCAGGGAGGGAAGAAGGACTGCTTGAAAAACCCATGCATGGGGACAAAATCTGTGACAAGCCAGTTGAGCTATGAGGAGTGACCTTTTATGGGCAAAATACTGTTGAAACATAAAGTAGGGTCAGACCCATAGTAGTTTATAGCTCATGCTCAGTTGTATCCACATGCAAGTTTCAGATTTTCATTATCAATCAAAAGTGACAAAATTGAATCTAACAAAGAAGAAAGGTGTAAAATGGAATTGCTTTTCATGTTAGTATTTCGGAGAAGATTTACTGTTTCTGCTAGGGAATGACAGCTATAAATCTATCGCCAAGATCTTTGAAAAGAAAGGATGAGCAGTTATTTTATGGGACTCCACCAGGGACACTTCTAAACACATTAATTCAGTTTTCTGAAAACTGAAATGGGATAACAGCAAGTCATAAAAATGTTCCTAGTTTTGGATTAAGCAAAACATTGTAAAGATGCTTCATTAAAATTCACACTTGCTGCTGTCACACTTTTTGCATTGGCTTTACTCAGCATTTGCCTGCACATCTGTTACAATATCCCTTGCACTTTGTTGAATACAATAACATTCCTCTACAGCTGATACCCAGAGCACTGGTTGGCTGACCAGTGGAAGGCCACAGCCAAATTCCATGTACCAACATGGCAGACCTACTGGAGGATATATGTTGAGGATAGGTGTCAACATTGAAGTTGAGAGCCTTTGGGCTAGTGGAGAAACAATGTTCCTAACTTTATAAACCATGGAGGTCTTGATTTGTTTAAAACTGAATTCCCCATTTCTTCCAAAATTGGAAATTCTGGTTTAATGATAGTTTACTAATGGGAATATTAAGGTAGAGTCTACTCTGCATGTAAGTTGGCCTGTGAGGGAGGTCCAAATATTTATTCCTACCTTCATAAACCCTGGTTTATAAATCCTGATATTGGATCCAGGCTTATTATTCTTTGTTTGTTTTAATTGTATCCTATTCTTCATCACAAGTTGCTAGCACGGCTATTCATGCTAAGAGTAGACTATTTCAGTGTGTCTCCTCTAAGTATTAGTCCAACATCTGGACTAGGCTATTAGTTAGCAAACTGAAGGGAGGGTCAAATATATTGGAAAGAAACAGCAGCTGATAAGAGCATTATAATGATTGAATATGCCCATCAAAGGATGTAATTCATGTCATCTTTTTGTTCCCTCCCGCCAGATGTTGGAGCATTTTTTGAAGAGGGGATGTGGCTCCGGTATAATTTTTCATCAGCAGGGAATAATGTGAAGGACTCAGGTAGCAGAACACTCTTGAGCTCAAAAGAACCAGAAAATACTGTGTCAGACCTAAGCTTGAATAAAGAAGAGCTCAGTTTTAGCTTCAGCACTAACAAAGCTCCCTGTATCCTTCTGTATATCAGTTCTTACTCTCAAGACTACATGGTGGTGCTGGTGAATCCCTCTGGTAAGTGATTTGTCATTTGCATTCCTTATCTGAGAATTTGTCATACATATTAGCCTGCTCAAAACCATTTCTTGACCAGTGCCACAGAACAACTGGAAGGTGCTATTCTACAGATTAATAGTGTGCTAAGTGTTGAACAGTTTAGTTGCAAGCCACATTTAGGACTGGTTTTGGAGCCAAAATGACTGTGGTCACACTGCCAGGTGGAATAGGCAGTGGAGTACAACACGTACATTCTCCTGGACCTCTGGGTGACTTTCCCTACCATCAAGCATAGCATCCTTCTGGACTGCCTCACTGATTTGGGTTTAGCAAAGTCAGTGTGACTCCCATCTTACCAAATGAGCCAGTCTCAGAAAGTAATGCTGAGGGTCTTCTGCAGTGTTCTGTGTTCTTTCATCTGTGGGCTACTGCAATATACCATTGTATCTCACATGCTATTTAACATCTGTACCAGTGATGGGGAACTTTAGGCTCCCCCATCCAGACTGAAAACCTCTCCTGAAGTTCTTGACTCCTGAGCTACATGAAAATGCTAGAGAAAAATCATCTGAAAATTTGGGTGGCAGTGTCATATATATATATATGGACAACAAGCACCTCTGCACTTTTCCCTCCTCCTAATCCCAGCTGCAGTGGTTGCCAGAATGTTTTTGAGCCCAATTCAAAGTGCTGGTTTTCACCTTTGAAGCATTAAATGGTTTGGGCTGTGGAAAGACTGCCTGAACCCTTGTGTGCCATTGGAGAGCTTATAGATCACCATTAAGATCTATAAGGCTGGAAAGTATTAAGTATCAGGCCAGTGGAATTCACTCCTGGGAGATCTATGGCTATCCCTATCAGTATCTGTGTCTAAGAGAGGTTTTTAAAAGTATTTGTTCAATTTGGCTTTTAACTGAAAGGTTTTTAGTATAAAAGTAGTTTTTGCTAGTTTATATAAGTTTTATTTATTTTATTTTATTTTATTTTTTTATTTATAGCCTGCCTTTTTCCTACAAAGGGCTCAAGGCAGCTTACATCATTCTCCTCCTCCTTCTTATTCCCACAACAACAACCCTGTGAGGTAGGTTGGGCTGAGAGTCTATGACTGGCCCAAAGTCACCCAGCTGGCTCCATGGCTGAGCGGGGACTAGAACCCAGGTCATCTGAGTCCCAGTCCCATGCTCTTAACCACTACACCACACCGGCTCTCAGTTTTGGATTTAAGTTGTCTTAACCAGCTTATTCTTAAATGTGTTCCAAATTGATCCATATTTCTATTGATATGGAATTGTTCATTTTTATTTTGGAAACTGCTGTAGGAATGTAGTCTTGTAATGTGGCTAAGAAAAGCATTAAATAAATAATGAAGTTATAAAGAGAAGAAAATACTATTTAACAGACTTGCAATCATAGGCCCTGCCAGCTTGGGGATATGGAGATTTGCTACTGTTTTGTTGCTGAGATGTTTGTCCCATTGCTTCACCTACTTCCTACTTATGACCTAAAAGCAATTCTCATCTTACTCTGTACAAGTCCTTCCTTACTGCCCTCACATTCCATTTTCAGGTGATAAGACATTACTGTATCTATTTCTAACAGTTCTGTCTTTTGCTCATTTCTGCTCTAGAGTAAGTGCAGGGTCTCAGTTCAAAACTTAAAAGCCCCTCAACCACCACCACCACCCTGCTGGGATCCCAATCTGAAATGGAGGGGTGCCCTGTACCTGGCAAAAACTTGATTGTGGCAGGAAGAGTGCCCAGAGAGCCTTGAATGACTGTAGCTCCGTGTTGGTTGCTTCCTTGGAATGTGTGACGTGGACCTTGAAATTCAACTTAACAAGTTGAATAAATATGACAGTGGCAGGCTGTGAAAGCTAGGAAGAGGAAAGGAAAACATTTAAAGGGGGGAAAGGTCTAGGAAACAGATAAAATAACAAACTATTGAATGTTCCTTTCTATAGGCAACTTACAGATTCGATACAACCTTGGAGGCTTAAAAGAGCCATATATTATCAAGTTAGATCACAGGAATGTATCAAATGGAGACCCTCACAGTGTTAACATCACACGGACAGGGAAGGCGATTACTGTCCAGGTAATGTGTAGCAGTGGCTGTTGTGGGGGTGATGGTCTATGCCAGTGCCAGGTTCCCAAGGGCCCACAGGCAGGCAAGGCACCCTCAGTGGGGCCTTCCTCTCAACCTTCTCACCACCATGTTGTTCCAGCAGCTACTGCTCCTCCTCATCTTTCTCAGCACAGCTCCCATTTGCTTGCTTGACAGGCAGAGAGCAGGTGAGCAAGCTAGCAATGGCTCTTCATGCACCTTCTTGCCAACACCACTATCTGGGCCAGAGCAAGAGGTGGGGGAACAAACAGACTGCCATGGTGAAAAGGAGAAGGAGCTCCAGGGGCCTCTGGTCAATGCTTGTCCTTGACACCTGCCGTGGTTATGTAATAACATTCCTATTAGGGATTGTCCATTATGATACTAGGGGAATATGGGGTTCATCAACCAAATGTAGATACAAAGGCAAGAAATCCAAGCCATGTGTTTAACATGAATAAGACGCTTATCATTTGCATCACTACCACCCTTTGGCCATGGAAAAAGAGACGGACTCTTTGAATATTTTTGAGAGACTCCTGTAAAGGCCCCAATTGTTGGCACTGTCGACTGGACTTGTCAGGATCTGCAGAGCAGCACAGCTTCTTCTGGTGGCTTGCTAGAGCAGGCAGCCTCATTCACCTTGCAAGTACTTGCAGGGCTGGTAACAAGGCCTGCGGGTACTTGCAGGGATTAGAACCACTGCAATCACAGAAACCTGCTGGAAGCTACAAGAGGTGCTATGAAAGGATGCTCAGCCCTGACTAGTTTCACCATAATTATGAATACATATTTGTAGCCCTTATCTGGTGGCTACCTTCATTTCTGCAATGGCTTCATCTGTGCCTTGACTCCTGCCTGTTCCTGACTCTGACTTTCCCTCTAGTCCTCCCACTTCTTTTCCAGGTATCTGATCCTTGCCTGCTCCTGACCTTGCCTTTGCCTCTGGTTCTGTCATTCCTTGCTAAGTATCTGACCCTTGCCTGCTCCAGGCTATGCCTTTTCCTCTAGCCCTGCTGTATCTCACCAAAGCGTCCATCCTTCTTCATCCCTGGCCCTGGTGCTCCAGTTATAGATACTGGTTGTTTATGCCCTGGAGCTGACAAGATTATTGGGATAATTGTTTTAATGTTTTTTTTTTATCAACCATCTTCTTCTATGTGTTCTGCTTCTGAGAACTTAACTTGGAGGTGGCACCAGTGAAAACCATGAAATTCCTGAGATTCTGTTGGATTTCAGTGTAGTCAAGCTAAAACATTCCATCACATCACAAAAAACAGCTAAAGAAGCAAACTAGAAAACACTAATACAAAATACTGGGGGAAATGCAGTCTTTAAAATATCTAAAAGCTGAAAAACAGGAGTTGAAAGGATCATAAGTTGGAAACGTGCATAGGATTACACTCTAATAAAAAGTTCCTGCCAAAAGTCACTGTCCAGGCAGAATTTAGCACTGTTATTTCCCATTAATTTCAAAGGCATAGTGCATCGTGTACTTTTAAACCTCTATTAGAACAAATGAAAATGAGAAGAGTTAAACTTTGGCTGTAATCGAGAAACTGTACCTTATCCTTATTAACAAGGACTTTTAAAATGGAGTATAATTAATTATATATTAATAGCATCATTAATTCTCTTAACATTGCTAAAATGCAATCTTCCTTGCAAGCAAAATATGCACATAATATTTGTATTGTTAACAACACTGCTCTGTTTACTTGAATGAGCTTTACAGAACTGCAAATCTTCATGTAAGAGCTTGCTCCCTGAAGATCACTAGATGGCAGCATATCTTAACTTTTCGAAAGAATCCTGTTGAGTTCAGCAATTCTAATATGTGTATTGGGTTCTGACATGCTGTGTTTTTAGATGTCTGAAGTCAGCTTTAAATGATGGCTTATTTACCAGTTAGGCTCAATTCGAAGTGGTGGTACTAAACATGGCTAATACTGCCTGGGAGATTCTGGTAGTTCAACACATCTGAATGCCACCAGACTGATATAATTGCATGTCTGCTAACAGTGTGACTATAGATTCAAAAGGCAGTATAAAAATCAGCTAGTTTTTTATTATATAGCACAAGATGGGCAGCAAGCATACCTGGGACTGCAACTCCCTGTATTCCTAATCATTGGCTATGCTGGCTTGGGCTTCTGGGAGATAAATACAAAAATTTGGAGTTCTACCTTCTACCCATTCTTGATATGAAATTCAGTGTTAGCTCCACAGCAAAATTAATGAAGGATTGTGGAAGACTTCCACTTGGCTGTAACAACCTTCCAAAGCATTCCAAAATGTTGGCTTTAAACTTGCTTCATTTTCTTCACATCTTCTGATTTCCCCTCCAAAGTGAGTTACTTCCATTACATAGTATTGTGCCAAGCATAGGCAACTATATGATGAGTGTTTTCTGCTTTGTTTTCAACATTCACGCTTCAGAATAATTTTGAACAAACTCATTATGCAAGAAATCATAAGTCAGGATTCAGTGGAATTCATGTACTCATGTAAGCCAAATTTGGGCATGGCCAAATGAGTGCGGAATAAGTGTGTTTGTTTTTTAATGGACAAAAGCCAGAGTTGGATTTCTCCTCAAACACAAAACCTGACTTAAAACCCAAATTCTCCCCACCCATAAGCATAGACCACCCAATAACAAGATTTGGCATGTTTTTATTTGGATTTATTACCTCAAATTTGAATGGCTTAGTTTTGATTTCTGTTCAACTCAGTTGAACCTACAGTAGATACATGCCTTTGTTTTCTAAGTTTCTCAGTTCAGTTACTCACATAGTAGATGCCTAAAAATGCACAAACCTCTTATGTGAGTGTGTAAACTGGAGTGAGATTGAGTTATATCCTCTTCTGGTCTTACTGCTTATCGAGGGTGAAACAAGAGCAGCTAAAAGTTGAGATCACTGTGTGGTTGCCTAATGTCCTTGGGGAAGACCTAGCCTGATTGCAATGTACATGCATAAAATTCTCATAGCCTTTTTTCATGGTTTGTTTTTTCCAGCTGGACCATTATTCTCCGGAAACATACACTCTACCAGGACCATCAAACCTTCAGTTTACTTCACTGAAGTCACTCTTTCTAGGAAAAGTAATAGGTAAGACTCCATTTACAAAGTTCTTTGTGTATGGCTGCAACTTTAATCAGCCAATTAATTGCCTAAAGCTCTCTGCTTAAATGTCCCTTCTAATGACTAGTTGAAGCTTTCCTTTTAGTAATTTATTCTCACATCTGTCAGTATCTCAGAAGGGCTGCCTTATTGAGGTTATTGTGCATTTAATTGTTGAATCAACTGTAACTAAATTTTCTGTCCTGTCCTGTTTAAATGAGTTCTGAAAGAACTAAATCATCCAGGGACATGAGTCTGTGTCAGTTGTCCTCTGGGCATCTGATTCTCATTAAAAATTCTGCTGCTCAAGTTATTCATTATGGTACAGTTATACTAGCAAGAAATTGCAACAGCAGATCTGCATCCACAGTCAAAATAAAACAGAAAGGGCAGGATTTGGATACTGAATATGAAGCATCTGCTCACTGCAGTTCTGCCTCCGCCTGGATGCTGCACCATCCAGGTTCTGTGGCCAATATGAACTGGATCCTGATCGGCCATTTAAAATCTTCCAGTCCCTGAGGCTGGGATGTTGTCAACTCTATGGGCCAAGACTTTTCACACACTTGTATGTCTGAATAGGCAAGATCTTTGAGTATGTGTGTGTGTGTGTGCACGCATGTTTGTGCACACATATGCATATGTGTGAGAGAGAAAGAGGGAGGGGGAAGATTTGGAGGAAGTTTGGAGAGATCCTAAAGGAATGAATGCAGTTTTTTAGAAACTTGAAACCAGGAGATGACAAGCATGGCTATATACATGCATCTACACATACATGATGGGTATCTGGGCAGTTAGAGAGAACACATCTGTGGGTGGTGTTCCACAGTGAGTGAGAGAGAGAAAGAGATTGAGGGGGGATGAGTGTTTGCCTTCCGTTCCATAGGTTTCTATCTAATAACTGTAGGTCCAGGTGATTTATTTAAAATGTAAGGGTTCAACCTCTCCTCTGAGGAAAGCACTTTTGGGCACATCATTTGTCCTTTGTGACTAGTCATGCATCCCATGCTACTGTCATGAACTATGGTTCCTTTGTGCAACCAAAGCTACGGACCTTTCTTGCAAAATGTTCTTTATCGACCAAAGCCTTTTCCAGAAGCCCAAAGACCCAGAAGGAATCTCTCTGAGCATGCACAGAGCAGTTTGTTGAACCCAATCTAGCATTTACCTCCAGAAACTCTCCTTATAAGCATGTCTGGGAGGGGATTTCTGAAAACAAGCAGACCTCCTTTCGGTATGCTGCTCCTCTAATTGGGCCACCTACCTCTGCTGACATCAGGTCATGGGGTCAAGAGGCATACCCACTTTGTCTCTGAGAAACTCCCCTGTTCCAAGCCCCCTCCAACTAACTGTACATCTTGGTTATTCTCAGAGGCTGACTGCACACTGCGGAGTCTGGCCTTGAGATAGGCATCTCCGCTTCTCTCATCTGAACATCTAGAATTGGCCCACATTCCAAGGCCTGCTCCTGCTCTTTCTCCTCCTCCTGAATTCCAATCAGCCGGCCTTGAGAGCAACTGTCTTTCTCACTCCCAATGGCTAGTATGCAGGGCAATTTCTTAAACTGCCCAGTGTACCTTAAAAGATCGCCTGCTATGAACTAAGAATCTGCTACAGCCTTCAGGCTATGAATAGGGCTCACTTCTGATAGGTCTGGTGGCATGAGGAAAAATTTGCTTTATACTCTGAAGGCTGCAGTAGAATTCTGGGCCTTGATGGATGCAAAACAAGTATTTATTCACACATTTGTCAGACACATGTGATATATACCAAGACCTTCCTCCTTCATCACCCTGGCACAGAACACTGATATGATTTTTTAATTGTAGAGCATGCACAGCTGTGGTCACACTGGATTTGATTGTGAGCACTGGTTATGCTTGTCTCAGTAGATAACCACTATTTAATAAGGTATTGTTCTAATTATTTCATGACTAAAAAGTGAACACTTTAGCAGGAAAGCAATTATCCTTGCTTAACCAGCTGTCAACATGGTGAAAAAGGAAAGAGTGGTGAGGAGGTAACATCCTGCTTCTTCTATTTATGAATTCTGTGCTTGTATCAGTCTACATTTGAAGCCTACCACTAAATCACATTAAAATGTGCAGAGTTTTGATCATGTGACTCTTACCAAAGTAATTGGAATCATGGGGTTACTCCATACTCTGAGGTTTTCATGCATTAAACATATTGCTGAATTATGAAGCACTGGTTTCTTTTTTGCCATACATGGAAATAGCAAGGAATCAAATTCTCATGCTTCATGTTTGCAAGAGAAATGGCCATTTCACAACTTTTGAAGTTATTTAACAGGGTTCATGTGATTTTACCTGTCACATATCTGCTTTTGTCAACTAATTCCCCAACACCTTCGTTTTTTGCCATCCCACCAATCAAGTACAGGTCTGTTTGATGTTCATGCCAGTTTGGTGTGAAGACTATTCATACAAAGAAGTTCAGAAGCTAACCTTGGGCTAGCTCAGCCTTCCAATGTGTGAGGAATGTTTCTAAAAGGTTTTCCAGTCATCAAAATGCATTGGACTATTTGCTTAACAGATTGCAGTTTTCTTTCCGGAAAGATCCCTCATGTAATAAGAGTCCTCTGTGGAATAAAAGCCAAAGATCTAAGCTTCCCTCTCATTAAGAATTCTCATCTCTACTGAAGCCTCCTTCTTCCATAACAGATTCAAGGTAGGCAAACCACATAGGCCTGGAGCTTTTCCCAGTAGAATAGCAAAGCCAGAGCTCACAGGAACACAACAACAGCACTTCTTTAGTAGCAGGGATGCTAAAATCATCTGCCACCCCCTTCACTTGTCCCTATTCCTTCTGAGCTTACATTAACTTTTTACACTAGGTGTGGGGGGAAGGGGAATAAATTTTCCCAGCAATAATATTGCTCATTTTTTATAATACAAAGAGGCTTGCTGTTGAATGGACAATTAAGATCCATTCACTTTACAAAAGATCTATTCCTGCTGGAGATGAAAGCTGCTGGAACTGGATTGTTGAGATAGTTTGCTTGAATTTTTGCACATTCCTTGGGGTTGTGGCTAAGGAATCCATCCATCATGATGTACACCTGCACTTTTACCTCTATATTACTGGCTTTGCCTGAATAAACAAGGGCCCAGGTCCAGCCCCACCATTAGGGATAAAGAAGCAGCTGCCACAGACAGAAGATGTTTGGGGAGGGAGAGTGGCACTGAGCTGTTAAAGGGCAGAGCAATGTATGCTATGTGGCACCTTAAGCTATCATGCCACTCTCACGCTGTCCCATCACAAGGGTTAAAATAGGCTCCAACCTCAGTCCACCTTGTTCTTTGAACCCTGGCAGCCACAGAAGAGGGACATCTCCTCACGTGCATATCTCCTAAAGCTGCTTCCATGGGCTACCGCAGTGCTAAGCTGTCCATCCATACCTGCTGGACCTGATAGGTCCAAGTCTTATTTGAGTGGCTGCTTCCTTTCTCCATGTAAATCACCCATCCTGAAACCCAGTACAAAAATGGGCTAGTTTATTATTTCCATTATTTCCATTATCGCCATATTCCCCCCCCCCTCCTTTTTCAGGAACTCTATTTCTTTCTCTCAATGACAGGCCCCACACACTTTGGCAAGTCTAAGGATGCCACAACTTAAGCAGGTTGCCGAAACTAATTCACTAATTGTATCCATATAAAATTAGCAAGAAACTAGCTTTCATGCAATTTTCTCAGTTCTTCTATTCACTTATGCATACCCATTTAATAAAAGCTTGAACTAGAAGCCTGTTGAGCTGACTAAATAATTGGGCTGACTTACAGGACCATATTTACCCACATACCAGCTGCTTGTAGCTAAGGATGCCCAGTTACTTAAGAGGTGCCAATAATCTGTTTCCTCCTTTCCTCAAAACCTCACAGGTTTGAATTCCCACATCTTTGGAGTAAAGTGAATTAATTATGTAGTGACAGCTGCTGATTATTTCAGTAGTATGTTCCATGCAGCCTGCTGTACCTGAAAAGAAGGATAGAAGAATATGTCTTTATCAGTCATTGTTGTCATCACCATCCTTTCTCTCTCTCTCTCTCTCTCTCTCTCTCTCTCTCTCTCTCTCTCTCTCACGCACGCACGAGAGAAAGAGAGATTCAAGGAGAGACCGATCAACCAGTCATCACTTGTAAGTGCCCACATGAGTGCTTTGCTCATTCTGGGCTTGAATGATTACTGGTTATTCATCAGTCAAGTGTGCTCACGCCTGCACATGTCTGAAAGAAACTTCATTCTAGCATACACCTAGTAAAAAAAGCAGCCCACTGTTCATTTCCACCTACTGTTTCCTATTTCTTTTCTCCCCAAACTGTGGTGAGAGTGTTCTCCTCGTTAAAAATTAGGAATTGTTGTTCTTTTCACCCGGCTTGATCCTGGCTAGGTTCATATGAGTCACTCATCTCAGAAAGTGTAGCACAAAGTATTTGAGATAGAGTATGGGGAGGGTTATGCAAATAATCCATGGGTTATTGTTTCTAAAGGCAGTTATAAAAACATGCACATTAAGTGTAGCTGGAGAAACTAGTAGCATGGAAATAATTGTCCTGGATCTTTCAAGATGCCAGTATAATATTTACTGAGAGTCAAAATAGTTACATTGTTCTTTGACCAAGTGCCCCATCTTTTAAAATGTGTTGAAAAAACAGCAGCAATTAGACACTGAGGGAGGGGGTTGGGCACCTAGCTGGGAGGTCCAAGAATGAGCAAGGTAGCACTGCTGCCCTCAGGCCTTCTCTAAACTGAGGAAACCATGAGCAGTTGCACTTCTAAGAAAACAAAAGTTGCGTATGTATACTGCAAACAAAAATCCACTCTCTTCTATTTCAATAAAGAGTGGATCCTGGTCCAAGCAATCAGGAACCACTGCCTTTAGCAAATATGTTGCTATCTGCTCTCAAGTCATCTGGACCGTATACATGAATATCGTGCAAATGTCCTGGCCTTGGCAGTCCTGC